GCTGTCGAATATATTTGTATATTCGACAAAAAAGCTGTCGAATATAAATACTGTCGATTAAACAAAAAATTTCCATTATCATCGTCAATTTTACATCTTCGTCAATCTTTCTGTCGATTATGTACACATTTTCGACAGCAATGTGGCTGTCGAATATAGTATTGTCGCTTATGCCGCGTTTTCCAGTAGTGAGAGAAGCCAACCTGGGTTCTTGGAGAACCTAGATCTGGGCTCTCCTGGAGAACTTGATCTGGGTTCTCCAAGAACCCAGACCTGGGTTCTTCTTGGAGAACCCAAATTGGGTTCTTGGTGGGTTCTCCGAGAAGAACCCAGGCCGGGCTCTCCTAGAGAACCTGATCTGGATTCCCCAAGAGAACCTGGGAGAAAAAAAAAAAAAAAAGGAAGAAGGTGGGAACTTGGTACGATGAGAGTATAATGGAGATTAACGGAGTGTGTGGGAGCTAATGGAAAAAAGAGTGTGTAACGGGAGTGTGGTACGGTCAGTCTAAACCAATCATGGTCCTTTTGAATAATGCATTGTTTCTAGCTATCCACAAAGTCCAAGTAATTGTGAACCATATAGTCTCCCACCCATGCCTTTGATTTGCAAACCTGAATAAAGCGCCATGCTAGTTGAAAACACTCCAACATCCTCCTGCCATAACTCCACAGATGCCCCACCACTTCCGGCATTTTGACCAAAGCAAGTGTGCAATTTTGCAGTGTAAAATTAGGTGGTTTATGTCCTTAATCTCTTCACAACCAAAAACACAAAGTAAAGAGTTTGGATCATTAAGTATCCTTTTGCAGAATAGATTCAACTTTGTCGGTATACGATCCTAAATTAGTCTCCAAGTGAATGCACAAACCTTACTTGGAATACCTTTAAGCCATACTTGATCATAAATTTCTTGAGTGACAGTGGGATCTGAGTTCAAAAGCATGTGATAACTCAAACGTACTTCATACCTCTCATTTGCACTGTAGAGCCATCTCCATTCATCCTTCTTTCCCCAGTGTAACGGTACTTGGTGGAGCACAGATAGTAAATTATCCACCTGTAATGCTTCTTTGGCCAGTAGGTTTCTCCTCCATGATAAAGACCATTCCCATGCACCATTAAGCCAGCTGATCATTTGTTTAATGCTATAATCTTTTCCTGTGGATAACAAAAATAGTCTGGGGAAATTGTGAGCTTAAGTCCTTATTTCTAGCCATTCATCTAACCAGAATTTAATGTCATCCCCTTCCCCTACTTCCAGTTAAAACCCTTTCTCCAGCCATTCCTCATTTGTTACATCTTGTTTAATTAGACCACAAATATCCCTCCACCAAATGGATCCCTTGTCTACTCTTTCCCTCAATCTAATTATCCAATTGCCCTTGGTCATTGCATATCTACTCTCCAGCACCTCCCTCCATAATCCTTCCTCACCATCAACTATTCTTCCCCACCATTTTCCAAGGAGTGCCAAATTGAATATTCTAAGATTTCTTATTCCCAACCCATTCTTTTTACTTGAACATACTTTGTCCCAACTAATCCAGTTAATAACATTCTTTTCCTCACACCCACCCCATAAAATTTTTATTCTAATTTTGTCAAGAGTTTGAATAATACCTTTTGGAAGTGAGTAGAAAGACATGAGGAAGACCGACATACTGGACAGCACAGAATTTAGAAGTGTGATACGCTCGCCAAAGGAGAGGTGATGACTCTTCCATGAAGATAACTTCCTCTTAAAAGATTCCACCAGATCATGCCAAAAAGATAATTTTCTAGGATTGCCACCCACAGGGATCCTAAGGTATTTGAAAGGTAGAGATCCAACTTTGCAATTTAATAGCCAAGCCATCTTCATGAACCATTCATCATTAGTGTGTACACCCATAATCTGACTTTTGTTGTAGTTTATTTTACGTTTGGACACCAACTCGAAAGCCCTTAGAATACATTTTGCTGCCCACACATTGTTATCTGTTGCCTTTCCAAATATCAAGTTGTCATAAGCAAATTGTAAGTGTGTGAGAGTAAGATTCCTTTCACTGACCTTGAGACCCTCATAAAGCCCTTCCTCCACTGCTTTAGATATGAGGCCATTGAGGCCCTCAACAACAATAAGAAATAGGAGCAGTGACAATGGGTCGCCTTGCCAAAGTCCCTTAGATACAGGGAACTGTCTAGAAGGACTCCCATTGATTAGTACTGATATCATGCTTGAAGAGAGGCATTCCATAATCCATCTGCACCATGTGTCATCAAAGCTCATTCTCCTTATTAAGTAAAGTAGAAAACCCCAGCACACATTATTAAAAGCCTTTTTGAAATCAATTTTGAGGAAGAAGCTACTACTACCATTTCTTCTTGTTACATCAATTGCTTCATTTGCCACCAATACCCCGTTAATTAGCAATCTGCCTTTAAGGAAAGTAGTTTGTTGCCCACCAATAATGCTACCCATCACTTGTCAAAGTCTCTTTGCCAAAATCTTAACAATGATTTTGTAGATGGAACCAATAAGAGAGATGGGTCGAAATTCTTCAATTTTTTGGAGGTTTAGAACCTTCGAAATCAAGGCAATAAATGATGCATTGCAGCCTCTTGCTAGCTTGCTTGTATTTTGAAATTCATTCATACATGCTATAAAATCTGCATTTATCACATCCCAAAATTCCTTTATGAAGCCAAAATTAAACCCATCAGATCCTGAGGCCTTTGAGTTACCACAATCCCAAACTACTTCTCTAATTTCCTCCTCCCTGAATTCTGTTATAAGGAAGTCACAGTTTGCTTGAGAAAGTTTCTTGAAAGGAATGCCATCAAGAGTAGGCCGTGTCCAGGGGTCCTCTATAAATAATCTTTCAAAGAATCCAGCAATATTCTCTTTAATCTCTTTAACTTTAGTAGGCTACTTGCCATTCACCTAAATGTAGTCAATTTCGTTGTTCCTAAGCCTTCCCTTAACACATCTATGGAAAAAGCTTGTATTGCTGTCTCCATCTTTTAGCCACATCTTCCTTGATTTTTGCTTCCACATCCTATCTTTTGTCTTCAGGTTATCCCACAACTCCATAAGGCATTCCTTTCTTTTTTCTATTTCTACTTCTGAAAGCTAATGACTTTCTTCCTTGATGTCTAACCGTTCAATTTAATCTTTGCTATCCTTGATTTTTCTATCCACATCAGAGGCAAAATTCTTGCTCCATTCTTTCAAAGCTTTTTTGGTAGCCTTCATCTTTTCTTTTAAACAAAAGCTCTTTTGCCCATTCATATCATAAGAGTTCTATAGCTGTACCACCATTTCTTTGAAACCTAGGACTTCTAACCAAGTATCGAAAAACTTAAATAGCTTTGGCCCCCAATCTTTGCACTGATTTTTTAGTAAGATAGGGCAATGGTCTGAATAGGATCAAGGAAGACCCCATTGTTTCATGTTTGGCCAATTAAGCAACCAGCCTTCTGAAAATAAACCCTTGTCCAATCTGCTCATTGATTCACCATTGGATTTGTACCAAGTGTATTTTCTACCATGTAATGGGAGATCCACCAACTCATTTTTTCTGATAAAGTCGCTAAACTCTCTCATAATAGTAAGATGTGCACTGCAGCCCTTCCTTTCGTGAGAGTTCTTTACTGCATTGAAGTCACCCAAAATGCACCAATTCCTTTTACTTCTAGTAAGCATTTGTGTTAAGTCTTCCCAATGTGATCGTTTTCCATCTAAATCACATGGGGAATAAACATTATTATAGATACTGGAGTCAAGTTCTGGCCTCAGTGTTTGGAAACTTTTATGTAATGATTGCCCACAAAAATACTACTTTTCCTAAAAAGATCCTTATCCCATATGCAAATGAGGCCACTGGATCTACCATTGGAGGCCTTTGCAACCCAATCAAAATTGTTTGAGCCTTATAAAGATCTACACATGCTCTTTTCTACTACTTGAAGTTTAGACTCTTGGATTGCAACAAATTCAATTTTTTCTCTCCTAATCAAGTCTCTAATTTCCCTCTTCTTTCCTACAAAATGCTTGGTGCAAACTCCTGTTTCCATTTGGGAAAATACCTCTTTTCGTTTTTCTACCCCATAATTAATCTTTCAAACACAAATTTATATATATTTTGATTTAATACACTGATAAAAAAATTATTATTATTTTTATTTGAAATTAAAAATAAATAAATTTAAAGATGTAACTATACACACATTATATTTTTTATAACTAAATTGAGTAAGTATTAAAAAGTGTGTCAAATCAAATGTATAATAATTATTTTTCTTTTCTTTTTATTCTAATTCTTAATTAATAAAAAATTTATTAATAAGATTATTAGGGATACTTCAACCATTACACAATTATTATTTAATGCTAAATGTCTTAGGCATTTATATTTTGATTATTCCCTCCACTTGATTTTAGTAAATCTCTAGTTTCTAATTTATAGCATTCAAATTTAGTTGTCTATTTTTTAAAGATATTATTTAATATGTGTCTTATTTAATTGGTGATTAATTAAAAATAAATATATAGTTTTATTAATAAATTATTATATTTCTATTTTGTTGAGAAAAAAAAAACCCTTAGACTTAGACCTACGGATAGTATAAAATTAGCATTTTCATTTTTCACTCCATTTTCACTTTCGCTACATCTTTTTTGAAAAAAAAAAAAATCTATGCACATTTTCATATAATATGCCATGGATGATGGATGCATACTTAAAACCGATAGTTTAAATTAAAAAAAAAAAAATGCAATTTTGATATTGGATTAAAATATGAAATTATGAAATGGGGAACATGATTAGTACATGGTTCAAAGTTCAAACCTGTTAATTAGCTAAACAACATCCTAGTCCTAACTGAGACAGGACTAATCTTCCCAAAAATATACTAGAGTACCTCAATGATATTTCTCATTCAAATTAAGTCCAAAAAAACTAATCCCAGCTCCCTTAAATTAAACATTGGACATAGAAATAATTTTATGATCCACCAGTAACACTGCCATTGAAGATCTCAATCGTATCGCCTTGGCCGACCTGGTGCCACCGGAAGGAGCGATCGTCGTCCATAACATTCTGTTTGTAAATGAAGAAATATCCCTCCGGTGGAAGATGAAGCTGAAGCCTCGACTGCAACTTCTGCAGCTCCTTTCTCAACTCACTAACATTATCCGATGGATTCACCTCCACCGGTATCTTATTCGGCCCGCTCTTGGGCAACACCATCAGCTTCAGCTTCTTCGACCCCGTCCCCGAAGATGTCGGTGATGGTAATGGCCTTATATTCACATCAATCTCTGCATTTTCCGGCAGCTCGAAATCCCGCAAAAATCGATGATCCTGCAATTCAGTTCCACTAGACTGGACTACTACCCTGTTTGCCGGTACAGATTCCATCTCGTGAATCTTTTCCTTCAATCGCAAAACGGTGTCGGTAACGTCCATTTCAAGAGGAACAGAGGTTTTTGATGAAGGAATATTGATTTTTAGTTGGATTTTCTTGGCCGGCGGCGGAGAAAGTGGTTCGGCCTTGATTTGGGGTTTATCCGGTTCCGGTGCCACCACAAGTTGAACGTGTGAATTCTGGAGGAGTTCGCAGTACTCAACGTCCCGGTCATCTTGAAGAACCTGACCCTTGAAAACTAGGGTTTGCCTGGAAACAGGGATCCCCTGGTATTTTTGAACCTTTTCTTTGATTTCCAGGACTGTATCAAAAAAACCTACTTCAATGGAGAAGGGTCTCCCCCTCTGGGGTTCAAAGATGACATCCATGGAAATGGTGGAAAGGGTAAGGGGAGAGTGTATAGAGTTGTTGCAACAATATCCGGTATTCTCTCTAACTGTGAAGGCCGATTTCAAGGGTGAATATATATAAAACAAGGTTTTTCTAACTTATACTCTAAGGTAGAAATTAAGGTTTTTTAAGTTGTATTATAAGGATATAGATTAATAGCATATTTTTTATATTAATTGCTTTTTTAAAATAAGAGTTAATTTTTATTTAATAAATCGTTCAATGAAAATGAGATATAATTTTCAATATTAATTAATGTTAAAAATATGTATTAATTATATTATTATTTTGTGCTCTAAGATTACATGTTAAAAAAATGCATATAATATACTCATTTATTTTTGTGGATTTTCAAAATCTTGAAAATGGAGATATGATATGCTCTTAAATTGGGTTAGATTTTGTGTTAACTCTTTTTGGTGATTTTGTGTTAATTGGTGACTTATCCTTAAATGTATTTTTCTCTGTTTCAATTTCTTTTGAGTCATTTCATTTTTTAGAAAGAAGAAAAATGATTAAAGGACAATTTTTATTAATTGTATAACTTTTATTTTAATTTAATATTACATTTAATAATTTTTCTTTCACTTTTCTAGAACTCGTGGTATTGTAAGTATTAATTTATTTATGACATGTGAAAATTGTAAGAAAAAGTTATCCATAAGTTGTCAATATATCATTTTACTTTTTTTTTTTGTACTAATCTTTTAATATCCGGTAGTTATATTATGTTCCGATTAATTTGAAATTGAGCCACATCGAATCTTATAAGGTGAAAAGCTCTTTTGGTGTTTTTTTCTTCATTTACAAAACTCGAACTATAGTTACTTTTATTTGAATCAACAGATCGTTAGTCATTTTACTCTTTTAAAAATCAATTTGAGAATTCATTTGAAATTCATTTGAGAGATAATTTAGTAGGTAATTTTTTATAGAAAATAGTATAGGGTAAATTGTCCTCTCATTTTTCATGGAGGATCTGTTTAAATTTTGTATTTTAATTAATATTTTCAAAACTAATCGTCAAATTGAAAATTCTATTCATGCATATCATGCATGTCATTTTTTATATTGATATAATATTTATAACCTTTTGATAAAAAAACTTTATTTACTAATAAATATTTAACAATATTTAATTTCATATAATCAACAACGAGATTAAGCCTACTAGGAGAATTTGAAAATTGATATGCATAATCAATATAAATAAAATTTTTAATTTAATAGATGATTTTTGAAAATATTAATTAGAAAATAAATTTTTAGGCAAAACTTTCAAAAAAATTTAGGATGACGACTTGCAAAATACTTTTCTCATTTTTATAATTGTTTTATTTTAAAGTATATAATTTATTGTTAAATACTTAAGTGATTTTAATGATTTAAAATTTAGATTTAAATTTCCATATTTTCAAATGATGGAATTCATTTTTGTCCTCATGTTTTTAATTTATGTACGAAGAACACCTAATTCTATATTGAATTGGACTATAGAATTGTTGTTAGGGAATTAACCATCCTTTTTGATATATATAGTTGAGTATATTAGAACTTTTTCTTCTTCTTTTTGAATGGAAAAACATGCAGTTTACTAGGTTTTAATTATTATCAATTCAAATATTTTTTGGAAAAGTAACTTGATACTCTCTGTTGCTTTATGTCCAAAATGTAATGAAATATATTCTTTGGGGGACTAAATCAATAACATTTTGTTTTTCTGGTCGAAAATGTTATCTAACGTACCTTTTAGGGTCTATTTGTACAATTTACTCCTTTTTTTTTTTTGGTGAAATATTTTCTGAACTAAGAATATTTGTTTCCTTGCTAAAATCCGTGGCTTTTTATGGTTACAATTTTGACGAACGGAAACCAAATCATGCATCCTTAAAATTGGGACCCTATAGTTTCAATTTAATAGACTTCAAGAAAAAGAAAAGGAAGAATCTTTATTAATTAAATAGGCCAAACTACCAATATTATAATTACTATATTATAAACTTATAATTATGATATGTCTTTATACAAATAGATATATATATATAATACTATAAGTAATAAAAAATAACTAAATAATAACACATCATAATTATAAATTAACAATATTACTCATAATTATAAATTTATAATGACATTATATTATAACTATATCAATTTTGTAAACTAAAAAAATGCAAAACTCATCAATCCACCGTATGCACAACCTGATTCGCTCACAATATTTTCTTACCACAAAATCCTAGTGTTTGAATGACTTTCCCATGCACAGATCATGGTCACCGAATGAGAGACTAGATCAAAGAAAATTTTAAAGGTTAGAGAGAAAATCTATGATTTCCAGAGGCAATTACATTCGTAGCAATGACAACGAACTTAATAGACAATTACGAGAAAACAAATAAATATACAGGATTGAGGGATGCATGGTTGCACACACACTCATGAATCTTGGACAGTATATAATTGAACTTGTCATGGCCGGACTTGACCGTAAACATCCTTCTTATGGTATGTTTTGTCCCAGGACCAGGGCTCATCTGCAAATGAGTTAGAAAGAAGTGAGAATATGAACTTCGATGTGATTAGATAGTAACAGTTTTACGAAGGATTTTGGCTAATCTGTATGACCTTCAGAGGAGTATGGCTCAGGAGGGAGCTCATAAGGTACAGGCAATGTGATTACTTCAGATGTCTTGCTCCATTGCCAAGTTAGGGTAACTAGTTTTGTTCTCATTGCATCTGAAGTTTCTGTTGACACACACTTGCCCTGAAATCCACAAAACAATCAGAATGCATTTATTCGTAAAGATAAATACTCATGGACCAAAGATGGTCATTACCTTGGACGGACCTCCATTGTCTGTACAAGAAAATTCTCGACCCTGCTGTTTGATATGGGATGGTAAAAATAACACTCCCAACTAGAAAAGGACACATGTAAACAAGCTTGTCAATGAACTCAATGCTGAAGGGACTCACATTATTGAAAGAAACAGGACAGCCTTGAATATACCTCATAGGATCTAATCATCAACTGAGAATTGTTCTTCTGGAGTGCTCCCCAGGCAGCTTTGCTTAGATTTGCTGAAGTTAACAAGAACCAACTGCATCCAACAGTACAATTTCATATCAAAACAAGCATGACCAAGCCCAGTAATATGCAAAAGTAACAAACTGTTCTTTTTAGCTTTTGTCGAGAGAGTGGGTAATGTGGTATTTTTTTTTTTATCAGCAAGAGAAAATGGGTATGTAAAATAAGAAGCATCTAAAAGCAAGATAAAGGACTGATATGAACTCTTACGCTAATTTCTGACCATTATAGCGGGTGAACGTCTTTATATGTGGCATTGCACGGCTAAAACAATTAGAAATCAAGATGGTCAGCATTACTTGAAACTTTCACATCAAATGAAAACAAAAGAAGTAATGAAGAAATGGAGTGCTAATATGAAATTAGTGTTTCATTATGCAAGGTACAAACAAAGATTTCAGTTCTGCAGCAAGGAGTGTGGAAACAAAATTCAAATGCTCACTTTCAGTTAAAAATGCTATTTAATAGCTAGCCTTGAAATTTCAACCCAACTGAGAAAAATAGGTACCAGCGGCCAGTGTGGCTTGCCTTCCATTTTGCCCAATACTTCTTCAAGAACTTTTTCTCCACATTCTTAAGAGGACTTGGTATTGCATTTCCAGCTGCATAACCCTGGAGAATAGGGCAGAAAAATATCAATAAGAGCAAACTTCTTTCGAGGTCAACCAGAATGCTATTGAACTTCAACCTTGATAAAAACTAGCACTAAATTGTCGGAGTTGTGGTGTCAAAGCAGCAACACAGTAGCAGCAACACAGTGGCAGCAAAGTGACAGCCACATGAAGCTGCACAAAACGGTAGCAAATCTTTTGAATGTAATTTTGCTTTAAATGTTTGATAGATTTTCTTGTATTAGGTAAATATTAGGTGAGAAAAGTATTGTTTTATGTTGTATTGTTTCTGCTATAAATAGCAGAATATCAATGGAGGAAAATGAGTTTTCACCTCACCACAAGAGTGAACTCTGGGCATCTCCCCTTCTCCTCCAAGTCCTCTCTCCACCCTTTCCCCAAAGCCCAACAAATGATGCCAAGTTAGGTTGAAAAAGAAACAAAGGGAATCAACCCTTGAGAGCAATAAGAAAATTCCAGCACTGAGAAAGCTTTCAAACTTGCAACTGGGAGTTAACAGTTCCACCCCTCTAGTGGTATATGGGAGCTTCTACTGCACTGAGATCCAACATCTTGGACAATCCGAGGGTTTAAGGTAACTGACTCAAGTTCTTCACTAATAACCAGTTTACGCCTTTATCAATTCAGGTAGTGGATGAGATGCATGAGAAATGGCTAGGCTAACAACTATCTGAAAATGACCAAGCAATCTAGAAATAAAGTGTTACCAAAGCCACATAGGACACCCTAGTTGATAATACCTCTAAAGAGCATCTGACATCTTCCACAGTGGGCCAAATTATCAGTGGCTCTCCAAGACCGAGAGGTTCTTTATCTTCTGTCTGACCTGATGACATTGATAATGCTAACTCAGCCATCCACTTCTCATCCAATGAGCCAAGGGAGGAGAACTGTGACAATACAACAAAAAAAATAAATAAATAAATCAATAATCTCACCTAACTGCTGGATGACACAATACCTGGTATCTGGTTGAATTATACCTGATAAATAAGAGGAGCTCTCTCAAATTCTTTATCAAAAACACACTCCTGGAGAACACTGCGTAGCTTCATATGTCCCCACTTTTTCAAATTGGACCCTGTATGATATCCAGGGACAGATGCAACCAGTCGGACCTGAAAATTACTTTTAAGCTTATATTCTGCATAAAGTGTGCCAGGTGAGAACCAAATGACTTCAAAATAGCAAGCTTAAAAGAATAAGGGATTAGAGAAGAATACCGCAGCACCGCTATAATCAAACTTCCTAAAAAAGGATGGGTTGATTTTGATGTTTCCCAAAGATGGTAAATTAGCAGTGAATTCAGGCCACTGCAAATAATCCAAAAACCACTGGCATCATTACTTGGAAGATGGACTACATATCTACATCATAAAAAGGCAAATAAGTAGATTTCCAATCTTCAATTTTTGCCTCTTGACATCCATCCAGGTCACTTCATCCTAGTGTAGCCTATTAGAGCAAATAGTAGTAGACAGTTGATACAGGATTATACAGGACAATCTTTCATGTGTATATCATTGATGGACCCAATCGTAGTAGACAGTTGATATATTAACTCTACCACTTTGAGGACATGCAATCACAGTAGAGGAAGAAAACCATATTCTGGAGATCACATTTAGAGGGTTTGGCATGGGAGTGAAAATTGCCCTGGCTAGTGAATCATGCACAAAAACTAGGACTAAGTTTTCTTTTAGAGAATGGAATTCCTACATAGAAAATGAGAGCCACTCAAGAAAGACACACATATTTCTGGATAAGGATTCAAATTTGCTGAAAACTATGATACCTTCAATGCGCCAAGATAGTCAATCAAGTCATTTTCAAATCCACATCCTTTCTTCATGTTATTTTCATCCTTCCAGGGGAAATCTTGCATCCATAAACCTTGACTTTTATTATTCCAGTCAACGTATATCAAGTTTGCTGTATGTACGATAATTCTCACTCCTCGAGGGTAGACAAGAATCATTGCCTTGGAATGGTGTGTCCCAAACAAAATGGGTAACGGGGGAATGTGCAAAATCCAATGTGAAGGCTTGCTTCTCTATAAAAGAAGCAGTTCACAAATTAAAATCCAATCATGAAACATAAATTCTGATGTAAACAGGAATTGATATTAAATTAGAACTAGAGCTGACCTTCATAAGCTCTGTTCTACCATCACCTTCCCCATGAAGAACCAATACATGTGGAATTTTCCCAAGTTTTGGACATGCTACACCAGGTGAGAGGCACAAAATGCTTCATATATAGAAAAGTAATAATGAAAGAGATTCAAGAAAACAAGCACTTGAAGACAACAGAACTACGACAAAATGATGCATAGATACGAAAGAATAAATCATACCTGGACTAGAAATAACATGCTATGAAAGCATCATAAAAGAAAGGAAAAAATTATGAAAGGCACAGGAAATATATGAATAAAGATAAAACTGCACAAATTCAAGCAATATGCATCAGATAACCATCTCGCAAAATATACTTCCATATATTCAATCTTTGGTGCTTCAATTAAAAGCAGAATCCTTTGAACCAGAAATCAGAAGTGCCATACAATCACATAAGAAAACACTTGTTTAAGCTGATACCAGAAAGGTAAAAGGCAGAATCCCTATGCGAGTGGAAGATTAGTAAATGAAAGTTGAAAACAAGTATTAAGAGCAAGAAATCTAAATTCATGCATGTGCATACCACTTTTATGTGCAATCATAATAAAGAGAACTTACATGACATCAACCAGTCGATGTCTACCATGTAATTGGAGAGGACAGCAACAAGAATATCCCCCTAGCAATCAAAAAACAATCATAGAAATAAAGTCAACAAATTACTTGAACCAACTTTCAAGAAAGTTCCCAAACTTAATGTAATTTCCTTTATTTGTACATGATTTACGGTCAAAATGAAGCTCGAGCAATGAAAATAACAGCATAACATACAGAAAATACCACCTATTATACCATTATGATTTCATACAAAACATACTACAACATCCAATAAGCCATGGTGGATATAATCACCTGAATCACATCCCCTATAGAAACACAGTTAGTATTTGCCCATGCTGGCAACCCTTGAACTTGCAAGAGCCTAAACGCCAGTGGTAATTTATCACGCGAAACGTGAAAATCCCGAATGGTCTCAACACATTTAACTGTGTCATTTTCTTTCCTCTTTTCCTGTAGCATAATTTGAACCAAAAAGCAAATCATCATCGTAATCCAAAATAGCAAAAACTGCTAGCAACGACTGAAACTCAGACACAATACCTTAGACTTGTTCGTTGAGTTCACCTGTTCTTCAGAATCTTGATGTCGTGATCTCTTTTGCTTATCTTCTTCACTTTTACGCAAGTCGTTAACTTCATTAGAACTTCTCTTGACGCCACCAGCAGAAGTTACATATTTAAAAAAATGATATCCTGGAATGAACTCTATAATATCACCATTAGTGATCGCCGCATTTTCAGAAGATGAGAGCTTTCTTCTCTGGTCACCGGACCTAAGGATCACCGGATTTGTTCCTTGCTAAACAATTTCGGATTCAACAATCAGCAGATAAGAACAGAATTTTTTTCGTGGCAGAATAAAGAGAATGAGTAATTTAAGTACCACGAGTAGATTGGCGGAGCCATCAGGAGAGGCGGTCAAAGCAATGTGCTTGCGGCTGAGCCGCTTGTCAGGCACAGAAACATTGTTCCGGCCGATGAAATTAGGGCCTTGAGTGAGCGGCAGCTTAGAAAGCGAAGCTTCTTCTTCAAGATTTTGATTCAGTGGAACCAAATATCCAATCTGCGTAGAAAAATTAAAACAATTTATTAGATTAATGCCGATAAAACCTGGAACCAAGCGCATGCACGATGATGTACCAGAGAGCGAGGCATGGGTGAAGTTCCGGCGTTTAGCGCATGAGAGAGAAGAGGCGAGAAGCCGCTGTAACGAAGGCTCGAGGCTGCGATGGAGGAGTAAGGTGGTTGAAGACGACTGTGGTGAGAAGTCAGTGAAGCTATTTTAGGGAGGCGAAATAAGGTTGCCAACTTTTCCGGTGAGAGCAAATAACAAAACGACGGCGTTTTAAGATGCCTAAACAAACCTAAGCGTACCACATTACCACCCACGATAGATTTCTTCCGTTTGAGACCTTTACTTCAATGCACTACTTCATTTATGATTTATGTCCCGTATGTACCATGTATGTCTCCAAATGCATCATATTGGGCCTTTTCACAGATTCTCAAAAATCTTAAACACCTTAGCCTGCCCTTCAATCCCTATGAGCTACCGGCGAGCATCCCTCGCTCATAACGAGCTGAGCTTGAACCAGCGCTTTCCAGATGCATGGTCCGGATTTCAACCTTGCTGATCTCAAAAATCATTTTTTGGTTTAGGCTAATTTACGCCTAACTTAAAACTAATAACTTAAACCCAAACTTTTTGTTATGGTAAAGACTAATTAGATAAAACTCTACTCAAATATATGGCAATATCAGGGCTATCTCTTTTCGATGCATTATGAAAATTGATTTGATACAACTTGCAACTGAATGATTTATTGCTCAATGCAATCTATCCTATCAAATGAACAATATTCATCTTTTAGTACAGTCAATCTATTTTCTTTTTGTCAAGTTTTGCCGAAGGATCTTGAGTCAGTACAGATTGAGCATTGTTGCAACAGCAGAGAAGTAAACTATGCTATCTTCTGCGCTTGTACTCTTTACGCATTTCCGCTACGTAGCTCTCCAAATTGGACTTAACCCATAAACGCCTTTGGATGAGATCCTCCTTGGTTGAATCATCTGACAAGCACATAATAAGACTGATTTAGTAAGACAGTACCTTGAGGTGAACAGTGGATAATAGCAGTATCTGTGAAGTAAATGGGGAAGCTTTGGGAAGCACTAGTTAAATGTTAATCTATTCCATGGTTTATTGTGGATGAGTTCAGTATTATTTTCTTACAGGCATAGAGTTGGCAGCAAATTAAAAACAGTAGAGGACATGAAACTTTGATATCAGGTTTGGTAATATAACCACAAGACTTGTGATTACTCTTGCTTTAATAACTAAAAACTTCTAATTGTGCCTTAGCAAGCAGCCTAATATTCCTCGAGCCTCAGTTAAAGCTGTAATAGATTTTTCTAGCCTAAAATATAAATTTAAGGAAATGCAATTATATGTACCAATGTTCATCCATGCATCAAGAGGCACTCCAAGGGCTTTCCTTGTTAGGTAAGATGCATCATCCCAAGAATATGAAACTCGTTTCACCTTATATCTCCAGAACCAACATCCACACCAGAAAAGCAGCTGGAGAAAACCAAAACGTAATCAGTACACCCTTTTAATTAGAAAGTGGATGTTAGTCAATCTTGTTTGCAAATGAAATAAAAGAGGGACGCATCAAATGGTAAACTAGATGTAGGGGATTACTGCATTATAATCCAATGTTCATCTAAATTGCGTCTGTGCTTAACTGAGAAAAATAAGCACCTCTAACCTTGCCAAGTGTGTAAGGAAGGAGCACAAAACGAACACCGAGCAATTCCCAGACACAGGGTTTTTCAGCCCCCTTGATATCCAGCTCAAGTTCTTTGCTGAGATCTTCCTCAGTTTTCCTAATACAAAAATGACTCACTGTGTTTTAACCACAACTCGAAAATTGTTGAACAGACACCACAATAGGGATTGACAAAAAGGATGAATGTATGAAAGCCGCATACAGTTTCAAGTGACTAACATGTCCCAATCATCCATGCACAACTAATGTAAATAAAATGAAAAATAAAAGGGGAAAAAATAACTGCATACTTTTCCATCTGCCTGTTAGTCTTCTTCTTATTTGTGATTCCCCCGCTGCGTTCAAGTTCCAATGCCCGCAGTCTATTTTTGTATGCCGGTGTCTTCTTGACCATGGCTACAGCCTATACATTTAGAGAGAGAATTTAGTTGTAAATAGAAAAATGAAGTAGGGGAAACTTGAGGCCCACTATTTGACAAATAGGTAATATAGATTGGAAAACATCTACCACAAAATCCTCTAGTCCAATTTAATAACTTATTCAAAAGTTAAGCCTTTGTAGCAACTAACCTGATTGTACCTTGTCCAACCATTTAGATACTGAAATGCTGAAAGAACCAGAAGAAGACCAACAAGGACAGCGCGAGGATCCTAGAAAGTATAGAAAATGGAAAGAAACATTTAAATGTGAAACTCATATATTCTAAAAGAAGAAAATCCAATAATCACTAAAATAATAAAAATGTTCTCAAATCTCACCGTTTTGTGACCATAGTAAGCATGATAGTAACGAGCTGTATTGTAAAATACCTAAAAAGGAGAAAAAAAATCAGAAAATTTCATCAATTCTTATGATAATATAAAACTATACCCCAATCACCATAGAGGGATATGCAGTGGATAAAGGAAAATGTCTTTAAGTGTGAACTAACATAGAAATTCATAATCTTTAAGCTAATTCTGCATATGCTACTCACAAGCATTTCTTATCATATCAAACATGCATGCATATTATGAAATGCCACATTCTACATGTCTAACGTAAGCAACCACATTGTTATATAGACCCTAAAAAGTGAAAATGTCTGACCATTTGAAATATGCAATCCTGGCAAATTAAATCAATAAGATTCAAAGATTGCTTTCTCTGACATAGCAATAACCAGAGTGTTTGAGTAGGACCACTTCCAACTGCACAGGTTTTTTATATAGCAAATTGAAATCCAAAAGATGATAAAAACCTATTGGCTAAAAAATGTTCACACCAACATTTTAATTAACTTCCAACATTAAAAACTCCACAATAACAAGATAAACCAAGTCCACATATACAAATTTTAGGACTTTCATTTACCTAACCTAATACACAATGGCATCTTAAGAATATTATAAATTTTATTAACAAAAACTTGAATGTACCTCCTCTGGGTGAGCAATTGCATAATCATACTGCTCCCTCGTAGCTTCATCTTTCAAAATCTGCAACCAGAACACATTCAGCTCTTGGAATCAAAATAGAGCTAAAATTTGCATATTATAGAAGTAAAATAGTAATAGTACCTCATAAGCATTTGCAATTTTCACAAACAGCTTTCTTGATTCGGGATCGGGGTTCTTATCCGGGTGACTAAGGAGAAATCAAACAAAGACAAATTACTCAACATAAGAAATCTAAGTTCAACACACAATTAAATCGACAAATTACAAAGAAAGTCATAAGCTTACTATTTCAATGAGAGCTTGTAGTAAGCTTTCTTGATCTCCGAAGCGTTAGCATTTTGAGAAACCCTAGAAAATGCAAAACAAGGCAAAATTAGCGAGAAATCAAGAGGTGGTCGGAAGCAGACGAGCTAAAATTGAGAGGGCTGACCCTAAGAGATCGTAGCAATCGTCCTCATCACAGTAAATGGCGAACGACGGTGATATGAGAAGAGATAAGATGAGCACCGATAAGACTGCACAGCACCGTAGATCCGCCGGTGGCGCCATTTTCTCCCGTCCTCCGTGAAGTGGAACAGTTGAACTGCACTTTTGTTTTTTCACGGTTAGAACTTGAAAGACTCCTCCAAGTCCTCATACTTGTATGTAATTACAAATTGCCCGATTGACGGCGAGCCCATTATGGGCCTAATAAAACCTCAATTTTTTGGGCCTTTTGCTTTTTGGACATGCTTTTTTTTTTTTTTTTGACAAGGATAATGGTTAAATAATTAATTTAAATTAATAGTTAGCAACTAGGGATTCGATCCACAGACTGAATGAACATTTCACCCCCTCAAATAAGACACACGGCCATCGGATCACTGTTGATGGAGTTCACAATGGTGATAGAGATCAAAGCTCCAACCACCTCACCCAAGCACTTAAAGCTTGAGGTCGAACCATTGGACCTAAAAACCGGTTCACTTTTTGGACATACTTATATTATCTAAAGGTCGGTATTTTCGCATATAAATTAAGCATGAGTTATATTTGATATTTAATTTAAAAATTTTTAAATATAATGTTTTAGATTGTATCTAAATATTTGAACACATATCTTTGGTATTTAACCCAATAGCTATTGAATAACTTCTAATAAGTAGCGAGCAACATGCAAGTATACATTTATATATGCCACTTAAGAAAAGAAAATATTTAATATAAGATATTATTGTTATGTGTTATATATTTGATTTAAAATTTATTATTTATACGAATTGTTATTGTTGCATGCAGATTTATTTGAGTCATATGTGTTACTTAACTTTTATTTTTATTTTTTATATTTTATGATTTTTATTTTTAAAAATTATTATTATTATATAAATATTAAATATAATAAATACATATAAAATTTTAATTATATAAATGTAAATAACATATCAGTTAAATAAATAAAATAAATCAAATAAATAATTTTAAAATTTTATATTTATTATTTACCTTAATAATTATGAATATATTATTTTAATATTCATTACTTATTTTTTTATAGTTAAGATATAATACTTATTTAAATATATAAAATGCTTATAAATAAATAAAATAATAGGTATTCCTATACCCAATGCTCACCTCTTTATTTTCGCCCAATGATGGGCCTGGCCTTCTTTTGGAAAATAACTGACCGCTTGAATTGAGCTCTCCCGACAAAGGCCATGCCATATATTAAAATCTTCGAATTTTAGTTTTTTTGGAACATATCTTTAAACTTTACTTATAGAGATAATACATATCAGTCTATTTTTTTTTTAATTAAAGCCTCAATATTAAAAGATATCATCTTATTTAATTAAA